TAATGGTAGAATGGATGCAATTAATTCCTCTTTACTATAAACATTGGTTTGTAAATTAAACTAACAAAGACCTACATACATTTTAAAATAAAAAAAATACTTACACGAACTATTATCATGAACTAGTTAACAATAATTATCAATTTTTTTTAATAGTTAATAAATAATAATAATAAAACTATAATGAATTAATTCTCATATTTAACGTTATCGAAACTATCAAACGTTATGGGTGAAAAACATTTTATTGCTCCTAATTGTTCAACTCATTCAGTATCAGTTGTTTCTGAGAACATTTAAAGACGATAGATCAAAAGAAAACTCCGATTATAACTCCCTACACCATATATACATTATACACGTATATATACAACATAAAATTGTTACAATTTTAATTTAGATCGTTTTAAAATAAATCCTACGTTTTATTCGAATTTATTTTCACAAGTATTGTTAAAGTTTAAGATTAAAAATTTGATTACAAATATAAAAGAAAAATATTTTTCTATAGTACAATACTATTATCAGAAAATCTATTTACAAAGGATAGAAATAGAATATTTCTCACGTTTCTTTTATTTTATTTTTTTTCATAGTTTCCGAATGAAATGTTATTTAATCCCTTGAATCAATAAAGAAATTCTATCTCATTCTCTTTCTCTCTCACATGTGAGATTAGATAAGCTTTAAAACGAAGAAAAACAAGTAATATTTTTTTGTCTACAGATTTACAATAGTGTGATATATATATGTATGTGTATACCGGTATTGAAACGGAACTAAAATATTTTTGATATCAAAACTTGTTTGTTACTTACCAAAAGATTTGGTTGAATACATCGAATATTAATAGAAATCATTAACATGATTTTATTCGTATGATGTGTCTTTAAAAATAATTCATTTGAAATGTCAAAGATTTCGTAAACATCAATTTTGAAAAGAAGATTAAAATGAATTTCCTGTTTTAACCAATGCCAAGGTCCATTACATGTTGATTTCTTTCAATCTTCTTCCAGTCCATTAATTTCACTAGAAGGTAAACATGACTTGAAATACAAATGAAGTTTTGAATTGATTAAAATTATTCAAATAATTTTTGATAATTTATACATCATCAAAAATGTTCTATTAAGGTAATTGAAAAAATTCGATAATCGAATTCATCGTCATTCGATATTATTTATCAATCTATGTATTTTAAAATCAATTACTTTTTATTAAATATTTTGTAGATAAGAAAAATAAATAAATTAGTTTAAATCATTTCGTGATATCATTAATATTAATTTTGAAAACTGTAACTGTATATAATATCTATTCGTTTTTTTTTTTTTTTTTATTATACACACCGATTTGCGAACATATTTTAAAGTCTAATTTAATTCAATGCCAAATCATCATTTTTCAATTACAAATCACATAAATTATTATTAATCACAATATCACATGTTCACACTTTTATATATAAAACAAATTATTTCAAACTTAACTTTCACCATTTTCTTCGTAAGAGAAAAAAAAACTCACTTACGAAAATTGAATCGCATTTACAACGAAGTATTACGAATTACGTCAGAGGCCAATTTTCCATAACCTTTATTCAACATGAATAATTTGATAGAAACACACATAATTTGAAAAAGAAATAAAATTGATTTGTAGTAATATTATACTTTCACAAATTTTATAGACATGACCTAAATAAATATAATCAATTATAATTCATTAAAAATTATTTGCAATATGTAATATATACACATTAATATTTAAATCTACTATTTAATGTGGATTGTAACAAAAATTTATTGATTTATTCTTTAACGTGACATGTTAGAAAGACTATCGAACTCAGACTAACGTTCATGCTAGTAGTTCTATTCTTTGATCATACTCTTTCGAGAGAAAGTAAAAGAATCAACATTGCGTAACAAACATTCGTCACTATATAATACACAATCAGTTTATTCTATTTTTCCTTTCTCTTTTTATTTTTTTTTATTTTATTCGGCATAATAATTTTACTTTATACTTATTTAACACAAACTCATATTTCATATATTTCACGTATATGATTTATTTGTTTTTAAATAAAAATATTATGTTAGAATATAATTATATTTTATTAATTTATTTTTATTAATAAATTGACTGACCAGATTTTATAAAAATGAAAACACGAAATGATTTTATATTAACTTTTGCATATTTGAAACATCCCATTTGTTATTAATGATTAATAAAATTGTAATTATATTTATTCAAACTTCAATAACAAGAATATTATGATAGAATATAAGTATATTTTTTTTAATTCACTTTTATTCATAAATTGATCCACCAAATTTTATAAAAACGAAAAATGAAACGACAGTATTAACTTTTGCATTTCCGAAATATTCCATTTGTTATTAATGATTAATAAAATTGTAATTATATTTATTCAAACTTTAATAACATAAAAATATTATGATAGAATATAATTATATTTTTTTTTAATTCACTTTTATTAATGAATTGATTCACCAAATTTTATAAAAACGAAAAATGAAACGACAGTATTAACTTTTGCATTTCCGAAATATCCCATTTGTTATTAATGATGAATCAAATTTTAATTATATTTATTCAAACTTCAATAACATCTCGATTAATATTATAAGAATTATTTTTTATTAACTGATTAATGAATATTATTTTAAATTTTATATCGAGTTGTAACAATTTAGTTTATTAGATATTTCTTCTTAATTTTCACATGATTTTTGTTTTCTTTCTTTCGTAGAAGAGTACAAAAAGCAAATTTAAACACACGTAATATTTTCTCTCGCAGAGACCATCGACGATTTGAATAAACGATAATCCAAACTGACGTGGACGTGTTCTCACGATTTATCGTTTAACCGATTTATCGTATTGAACGCCTATTCTCGATAATCGAATTTTAAATTGAGATTGGAAAATGATACTTTTTCTTTTCTTATTGACATAGTACTTCTCAATTATCGTATAATAAATTAACAAAAGGAAATTTCTATTTTCTTGAGGAGGAGATTATAAAAAAAAAGTATAAATAATAAATTATTATAAATATTATAATTATAAATTTAATATAATATTAAACAAATATAATATTAAACTAAATATTATAATATTATATAATTACAATATTATAATATTGTAATTCTATAATTATTATAAATATTATAATATATTTATAATTTAAAAATATTTTTTATAAACATATTTTATTATACAAAACACAAAATTTTAATAGAATTAAATGAATTAAAAATATTTTCGATAAAATTCATTTTATAATACAATACTCGTAATATTTTAATTTAATTTTAAAGTCAAAATATGTTATGCATGATTATTTATAATAATTTAAATAATAAAAATTGAAAATGGATGTTTGAAAATAGTATTAAACTGGACTACAAATTATATATATATATATATATATATATATATATATATATATATATATATACTACATTTGATAATAATAAATGTAAATCGTATTCTCTTCAAAGAATACCTAACCTTCAAATGAAATACTATTGCAGACTATGAAGGTTATCGTACGTTCGCGATCATCCTACTCTCTCTCTCTCTCTCTCTCTCTCTCTCTCTCTCTCTATCTTTCTCTCTCTAACAAATTTTATAATCTTCATACCGGAAATATTAAAATACAATGGATTATTCCGCTCTAACATTTATAAACAACGTGTAACGTAATGCAGGTGCATACGTGACGATCGATTATAGAATCTTATACAGGAAATGTTATTATAAATATATATAATTAATATTTATATAACGCAATGTTTATATAAGTTTAGTTAAAGTTAATTAAACAAATAATATCATTAAATTATTTATTATTGTTTAACAATAAATTATTCTTAATTATATATGATATATACAAAAATATCAAATATTGTGTTTGATATTTAAAACAATATTTCATTACTCCGTCGGTAATATAATGAAGCGCCATCTTTAATGGCCATTCATTCATTCACTTTTTTCTGTATATTTATGTGACTTCAACTGATTTTTTTTTCTTCTTTCTTTTTTGTTTTCATTGTTTGAGATAAAATACTATTGCATAAATTTAAAAAATAAGAAAATATAATTTTCGTATAATATTTTAATAATTTGTTTTCTATTTAAATAAATCAACATATGTATTTTATTTTGCTTTATTTCCGTTTTTCATTTTGTCATAATAAACATTATTGTGTGTGTTAATTTCATCAAACAAAATCTATGTCAAGAAATGAGTAATCGATTGGTCTGCACATTCCATAGGAAATTGGAAAAATGAAACATGCAGTTAATCATTTAAACATGAATGTCATAATTCGTATGAATTATTGTGAAATTAAAAACTTCAATTGCATTGTATGTTTTATTGTTCTTATTCTATGCATATCATTAATAAAAGTATTTTAACTATTATCATAAAACACAGAACTATAAATTTATATATAAAAATACATATGAATGTACAAATTATGAAAAATTATCAAAATTTCAAACATGATGAGTGTAAATTTACGTACATCAAAAAAATATTTACCCATAAACAAACCAATTGTTTGCAATAGTTAAAAATTTGTTGAAAAATTTCATAGTGTCAAGTATTTATTAATTTTACACATAAATATTTTCACCTACTTATTTTTTTGCAAAATCAGCGAGAAAAATTGTTAAGAAAAATGCGTGCAAAATCGGGTCAGTCATTAACACGCAATCGAATTTTGAAATAATATAAAATTTCATTGCTGAGTCATGTTTATATAAGTTTCAAATAGATTTGCTTTGTGTAATTTTTCTTTATTCAGTTTTAAGAACATCGAACGAAAGGATCAACTCAACCATTTGAAGTTTTTCCTTTTTTTTTTTGGTTGTCAGAAATTGAATATCATAATTAAACATTTTGAACGATTTTAAACATTTCATAGTGTTTTTTTTTTTTTTTTATTAAAATGGATGAAAGTGATAAACCCGAAACATCAATTTCAAAATTACAATCGATATCAATCGATTGGCAATTGTTATCTTCAAAATTACAATTTGTTCCAAAAGATCAGCCATATTGTTGCGAAAGTCTTACAATAACCTCAGCAAAAGGTAAGTTAAATTTTTTATTTAACAAAGAAAAATTATTAATGTCTACTTAATGAACTTTTTATTACGAAATTATAGATGGAACGAATCGATACATTTACGTTCCTTTTAAATATTTGAACACGATAAAACGTTCTCAAACAAATTTCTTTGCTGCACTTTCTTTCATGATTTTTATCACGTGTCTTGTAGCTTCGATAATTTATTTCTCCTCGTCATTAGAACAAGGTATGATTTATTGTTTTATTTTTTTATTAAATAAAATATTGAACGCATCGAAATATTTGTAAATAGAAAATATTTTCCAAGTGTATTGATATTTTAGATGATTACTCCATCGATAAAACAGAAATATCGTATAAGATTATTCCCGAAAGAAATAATGAAAATCAAACTACCGATTTTGAATTGAAAGATGTTGATGAGGAAACATTAAAAATGTTATATTCCTTTTTTCCTGACGATTTAATTAAAAATCGTACGAAACGTGAAACCAACGTATCATTGAAAAGTTGTCAAGAAACTGCAAGTAATTGCGAAACGATGTTGCAATCGGTATATCAATTTTTAGAAATTCTTTCTAACAACGAACAAATTTCCATACCATTGTCACAATATTTAGGTTTTGATATTAGCGATAAGGAAAAAAGAAATTCTAAGCTTTTAGAGATACTAAGATGTATGGAATGTAAAAATATTGTAAATGAAATTGACGAGGATACTTCGATGAATGACGAAGACAACGACTCAGGTTTACAAAATGATGAATATAAAAATTTTCAAATAATTATTAATTTATTAGAAGGTAGAAATGATTTAATGGAAGTAATAAATGATAATTTCAAATCGGTTGATGGAAATGAACAAAAGGAAGCCAATGATATCACAATGATGAATATAAAGCCAGAACCAATAATAAAATCATTTTTTGTACAAACTAAAAGAGATAATTTGGATCAAACGAGTGATCATTTTTTAACGACATTAACTAACAAACCAACTGATACAATTAAAAACGACCAATCAAAGAATTCTAATACAAAATTTTCATCTGCACATATAATTTTACCTAATGTCGCAATTACACAACAAACTAGTCAATTTGATGGAAAACCAGCTTATAATTGGATGCCATATCCAACATGTTTTTATGGATTACCACCAAATTATTTAAAAATTCAAGCAGAAAATGTTCAAGTTCTTCCACCTGATAATATTATTCCTTGGTTACCTGTACCAAGTTCGGAAGGTTCCACAAATGTATCTGGTAAAAAATTACCATATTATTGCACGAATTTTCCACAACCTCCGTCATCTTATTCTGAAAATAGTGAAGAAGATTCAGATGTAAGAAATACAGAAAAGAGTGTAATAAATAAAGATCAAACTGGTAAAAAAATGTGGTTTTTGTTATTATTTAAAATAAATATTATATATTAAATACTAATAATAATAATAATATTTTGTTAAAACAGAACGTCGAAAAACATGTCCTGCAAATACGTATTTATGTTTATCAAATAATCAATGTATTTTGAATTTTACATTATGCAACGGTGAAATTGATTGTAGTGACGGTAGTGACGAGAAATATTGCAGTTGTACGGATAGAATAATGAAAGATCGATTATGCGATGGATACGTTGATTGTCCTTACGGTGAAGATGAAATGAATTGTTCTGGTATTTATGACAAAGTTTTTTAATTAAGATTATACACAAGTTATATTTTCAAGTTTTAATATTAACGTTATTTCATTAAATATTTAGATTGTCCAAAGGATTATTTCAGTTGTTATAATACTGGATATGGAAATATACTTTCAAGATGTATACCAATTGATAAACGTTGTGACGGTACTACGAATTGTTTAAATGGAAAAGATGAAGAGGATTGTAATTTGATATTACCAACGTTTATTAATAATATGAATGTATAGTTTTTTTAATCTTTATTATTTTTTCATTGATCATAGAATTTGTTTTGGAAAATAAAAATGTTTTTAATTATTAATTAATTATTATTTCAGGTTAACGTAGTAAGTTATACCGAAGGTTATTTGCATAAAAATTACAAAGGCACATGGTACCCCGTAGTATCGAAAGAAATGTCATTTGCTGAAGAAGCTTGTAGAAATGAATTAAAATTGAAAAACATGTAAGTTCTATTAGATACAAATTTAAAATGATTTTTTCATTAATTAAATAACTATATATTATACATTTATACTTTATTTTTTGATTACAGCGATAAACCAAAACTTGAAATCAAAAATATTAATCGTAACAATTATCAAGGAACCTTTTTGACAATGATAAATAACGAAATTAAAATAATTAATTCTTCTATTAATTCAATATACGTCAAATGTCCATCATATTCTTGCGATGCTACTCAAAATGACCAATCACATGTTTCTGAACAATACAGAACAAAAAATAACGTTAATATGAAAGAAAAAAAATTATCAACTAATTTTAAAGAATTTACGGAAGAAGATACGATTTTAGGAATTGTTGGTGGTCGTACCAGTGTACCGGAAGCTTGGCCATATTTGATTGCAATGTATAGGGATGGCAATTTTCATTGTGGTGGTATCATCCTAAACGAATATTGGATATTAACTGCTGCTCATTGTCTCGTTCAGTAAGATTTCTAAATATTAATAATTATTTTTGTTTGTTGTTCTGAAAATCTTTCGAATAATTTAATAATGTTAATTTTAAACATTTGTTTTTAATTTTGTTTTTGTTTTTATAGGGCTAAACATTATTACGAAATACAAGCTGGAATATTACGACGTTCATCATTTTCACCAATGACTCAAAATAGAATAGCCAAGAATATTATTATACACCCTGATTATGATCCTAACCTAATGAGAAACGATATTGGATTGATAATGTTAGATAAACCATTACGTTTTAATCGATGGGTAAGACCAGCATGTCTTCCAGAAGAAAAAATATCGGGTTCGATTTGGAATCAAGTACCATCAATTGATACCATGTGTGTTGTATTGGGTTGGGGTGCTTTGATAGAAGATGGTCCTGATGGTAAGACATTTTTAATAAAATTTATTTTAAATTATTATATTACTGTGATATATAAAAATATTGACGAAATGATTAATCAATTTTTATTTTGTATTTAAAGCTGATCAATTGAGAGAAGTTGGAGTACCAATTTTGTCGAATTGTTCTGATACGATATTTGATAGCATAACTGAGATCTGTGCTGGGTATCCAATGGGTGGTCGAGATGCTTGTCAAGGAGACAGTGGTGGTCCTTTATTGTGCAGGTATGATCAAATATTATTCTCATATGAAAAATACAAAAATTCTATTTCAATATGCAAATTAGAAATATTGAATTTATTTTAGGAATCCAAAGATGGATTTATCTTATTACGTAGCTGGTATAGTTAGTCATGGTGAAGGTTGCGCTCGTCCAGGAAAACCTGGTATTTATGCCAGAGTTTCTTACTTCCTTAATTGGATCAAAGACATTTCTGGTAAATTTGTTATATTATAGTTCTATACATAATTAATTGTGTAACAATATATGGTTATTAATTTCAATTCATTTTGATTATGTAGAAGGAAGAATGACGAATCGTATTAGCGGTATTCCTTTAGCCAAATGTCCAGGTTTTAGTTGTAACGATGGAAAATGTTTACCGAGTAATCAACAATGTGATCAAAAGATAAATTGTTTGAATGGAGAGGATGAAGAAAATTGTAATTTTTGGCTGGATTCGAAATTATTCAAAATGTCTAATAACAAAACTGATAAATATATTATAAACAACGAGGATGTTATTATTGTTACTGCTAAATCAATATATAATGAAACTATAATTGAAAGTTTATTTACAGGTAAAAATTACATTATATTCGAAATAAAAATAAAATTAAATAAAATTAATTAAAAATTTGTAATAAAATAATTAAATATTTAATATAAAATTAAATTGAATTAATTAAAAAATTATAATAAAATAATTAAATATTTAATATAAAATTAAATTGAATTAATTAAAAATTTATAATAAAATAATTAAATATTGAATAATTAATTTAGTAAATTTAATTATTAATATTCTAAAAATATAAGTTAATGTTTATTAATTTGATTGTTTGTAGAAGGTGCATCAACTACAGAAAATATTGAATCATCGTCATTGATAACATCTCCAGATACTTCAGAACAAACTTCTACTTTGCCTACAATAGAAAATTTTGCTTCTTATGTATTCACCTGCCAAGTGTAAGTATGCAAAATATGTACATATACATATATATGAAAAACGTTTCATAATAGGTGGAATCCATTCGTGAAATGGATACAGAAGGGGAACATAAAAATAATGAAAAAAGTTCACAATAACTGTAAGCTTGGATACAACCTACTCCTGGAGGGTGAACATTTCGATCATTTTTTATGAAGTGATAAACTGTCAAGGATTATTGAAACACAGAAAAGGTTCTATAACATTGAAACTAGGTCAAATATTACACATGTTTATATAAACTTTTTTCATTATTTTGTATCCTCTTGTCCACTCTTAAAGTGGATCCCCTACACATTAGAAAATATTCTGTATAAAGTTGTATTATAAAACTAGATTTTTTTATATTTTATATTATTTTTACGAATACAACGAAATTATTCGATAAATTTTCATCAATTATTATTAAAAAATTTATTTAATATTTGTCAAAATTGTTTAACATTTTATTATAAATATTACGCCTGTAAATAGGCAACGCCGTAAACACAGTTAGAAATCCCCTTCTAACGTTCATTGAATTAGGTTTTCATTCCTAATGTATATTTGTTACCGATAGATGGCAGTCGTTGTCGATACATTACCAACGAAGTAAAAAGTGTTGTATATTTGCAGGCGTAACATTTTATATTTATAGAAAACTTAAAAAAAAATATAAAATACAATTTACAGATTACTTCAAAACATACATATAAGTAAACGATGCGACAAAATTATCGATTGCGAGGATGGAACAGATGAAGTCAATTGTACATGTAAAGATATTTTATCTTTGTATCAACCACGAGCAATCTGTAATGGATACATAGATTGTCAAGATAAAACCGACGAAAATAATTGCAGTAAAATTCTTTTTCTTTTTTTGTTACATTTTACATTAATTCTGTAGTCAACAAAATAATAATTTTTCAGATATATGTACGGATGATGAATTTCTTTGTAGTAGAAGTAAAACTTGTATACCAATGTCTAAAAAATGTGATATGAAATTCGATTGTCCTTTGAAAGAAGATGAATCGGATTGTTGTAAGTATCAATTTAAAAAAAAACAATAATTTTAATTAAAAATTAATGTAAAATTTTTTAGTAACATTGAGTAATGGAAAGTTTGTGAATTTGGATAATGACGGGATACCAATTTTAAACGTCAAGGGTGTTCTTACCAGAATTCAATATGGAACATGGTATCCTTCTTGTCATAATCCTGTAAAAACTCAAAATCTGTCAACTTCTATACTTATTGCTGACAATACGTGCAAATATTTGGGATTTACGTAAGTATAATAAAAACAATGTGAAAAATAAACGATGATTTAAATATACCAATGTTGATTTTAAATAATTTTTTTTTATCATAGGAAATATGATAAAATCGAAGAAGTTACGGTATTTGAAATTGGTATTGATACAAAAATCATAAACGGAACTGACGAATCTTATTACTGGCCTATGCCGGTGTACCACGCTCCTAGCAAAGTTCTACCAACTTGTCAAGGTTTTAACATAGGTTGCAGACCGGTTCCAAATACTAACATAAATGTACATACGATTATCGATCCAGTAACCGGAAATCGTACTTTTATCTGGCCGTGGTTAGCTACGATATTTGTTGATGGTAGTTATCGTTGTTCAGCAATTCTTTTAGACACTAATTGGTTACTATCCAGTTCAGCATGTACCAAGAACATCAAGTAAGTTTTTTGTTTCGTATTGATCACTGTATATATAATAATATTTTATTTATAAAATTCTAATTATTATTAACTATATAAAATTATATAAATTATATTAATAATTATTATTATAATAAAATATATAAATATTAATATAATTAAAGAAATAAATATTAATATTAACTATATATAATATTATATAAATTATTAAATTATTATTACAAACTTTAAATTAATATATATATATGTTTGATAAATCTGTACAATTAATATTACCTGCTAGTACAAAAATTAAAATTTTATACAAAAATTAATATTGTAGATTATCAGAAAATTATACGATAGCATTATTGGGTTATTCCCCATCATTTATTTATGTGGATGGACCACATCAACAAATGTCGGTAGTAGATAGTATCAAAGTATTAAACGATACTGGTGCATCTCTTATTCATTTGAAAACATCAGTCAATATGACGCGTCATGTGCAAGCACTGTTCCTTGAAAAAAAGTACGTACATAATATTATTATAAAAATATTACATTAATAAATCTTATTATGTTTTTTATTTTTTTTTTTTTTTTAGAATTTATCCACCAAGTAGTAAGGATTATTGCGTAGCTGTAGGAACAGATGATGATTTTACAATACATTCGATTACTTTAAAACCGGTATTGAAAAATTGTCAAAAGTGTCAACGTTGTTTTGTCAGTACACTGAATAATTTTTGCAAAGTAAGTTTTATAAATAAAATAACAAAATGTACAGATAATTATGACTATATTTGATCAATCGATTTGATTAGTTTATTATTAATTAAAATTATTTGCATTAGAAGAATATAAAAAAGAAAAATCTATTATTTCAGTTTTCTGACACATTGCCAATCAATTAACTGTTGTAATTAACCAACAAATGTATTAAACTATTGTCAATTTTTTGTATTTACATAACAACGAATTAATGCATATATTTTTCAGCAAAATTACACGCCAAACAATTGGAACGGTGTAGTATTTTGTCGTGGAGCTAAAGGCTGGTATCCATCTGCAGTGTTTGAAGAAAAAAATGCACCTTGCACATTTCAACAAGTTCAAACTTTGCCAAGCATCGATTTCCTAAATGCATATCTTACTCAAGCTATGGGTAAAATTTGTATTATACTTTCAATTCGATATAAACTATAGTTACAAATTTATTTAATATTGTTTATTTTATTTGATTATATTTCAGAGGAGAAAATACAAACATACGAAGAAGCTGTATGTGATGGTTTTCGTTGTAAAATTGGTGAATGCGTTCCATGGTACCGAGCATGTAATGGAATTCGAGATTGTCGAGATGGTTCCGATGAGATACTTAAAAATTGTTTAGTATCAAGAGAATCACGTCAAAAAGATTCAAATGTTAACAGTACGTCATCATTTAATATTCTTTAAATTGATCTATCATTTTACAATACGTATAATTATTATTATTATTTTTTTGTTATACAGAATGCACTGTATCACAGTTACGTTGTGAAAACGGTGAGTGTATAAATAAAAAACACTTTTGTGATGGAAAAATCGATTGCATTGACGGTAGTGACGAAATGGCGAATTGCAATTGTGCGAGTTTTTTGAAATTGACAACGCCGAAACGTCTTTGCGATGGTAGACGAAATTGTTTGGATAAATCCGACGAATCACCTATGATATGTCCCTGCAATGATAACAGTTTCAGATGTCCTGGGTAAGTGAACATTGTTAAATAATATTTTATTTTTATTAATAAAATATTAATCGTTTCAATATTATATATAATTTTATTATTATTATTATATAATTATTTTTGTGTATTTATTTAATTTATTTTCTTTTCTATATATTTATCTATATATATTATTATATGTATAATATTTTTGAACAATATAATATAATATATTAATTCTATTATTATTATTATTATTAATTTAATTTATTTTCTTTTCTATATATTTATCTATATATATTATTATATGTATAATATTTTTGAACAATATAATATAATATATTAATTCTATTATTATTATTATTATTATTAGATAATTATAATTGTATTTATTTAATTTATTTTTTTTTATATATATTTTTATATATATCTCTTTTATATATATATCATGTATATTTCTATATATATTTTTTCTATATATGTATAATATTTTTTAACGATTGTAATAATTAATTATTATAAAATATTAATCCTTTAAATATATATATTAATTCAATTATTATTATACAATTATATTTGTATTTAATTTATTATTTTTTTATTTTATATAAAAATATTTGTTAACAATTGGTATAATAATAATAACATATTTATAGACCAAATGGAACTGAAATATGTATACCACAAGAATTTGTATGCGACGAACAAAAGGATTGTCCTGGTAATGAAGATGAAAGAATATGCAAAACAATAAAACCATTTAAGGAAGATACGTGAGTACTACCAATTGTTTCATTTTTATTTATGAATATGAATTATTATTAATCTATTAATTTTTAATTAAACAAAATATTTATTTATCAGACCTGATATTGGAGAAGTAATTGAGAGAAATTTTGGTGTCTGGCATTCGTTGTGTTATCCAAATCCAATAACCACTAACGAGGATGCATCAAAGATCTGTGAATCATTAGGTTACGGATCCGGTACACTAGCACCGATACAAAACGATACCTTACCTATGATTCCAATTTACGATGATTTTTATATTGTTAGGATAAATTATCAAACATGGTACGCAATGAGATCTGATAAACCTTTAATAGAATTGTCTAATTCGTCACAAAAAATTTGTCATCGTGCATTTGTTTCTTGTAATTCGTAATAAAATTTTATAACATATCAACTTGTAATAATTTTTTGATATAATCTCATTTGTTCATTTTATTATTTATTGGATATTTAAATATATATTAATAATTGTTTTGTTAATGATAAATATTTCTAACATTTCTTAATGAATTATATGGAAAAAAATATATAAAAAGTTTAATTAATTCTTCTACCTTTAACTCTGTGCTATGGACTCATATTTGCGTTTGGTAAAAATTACCAGAGTGGTCTGTCAACACATATACGTGTTTGTTAATATTAATGTAAGACAATGTAATGTTTATATTAATTAATTAAATTATATTCAGAAACAAAAACTTTAATTATTAAATATAATTTATTATTTTTGATGTAATAAATTTTAGTTAATAATAATTTAGTTAATAATAAATTTTATTATTAAATTAAATTTTTATTTATGAACATTTTAGTTAAAAGTATTCAGCACTCAAAGGGTTAATAAAGTTCATCAGACTATTCAGATGTGATTATTTAATTAATTTCAAGATATAGGTATAATATATATACAATAAAAAAAAAAAAATAATAATAATATATTAGAACCTTGTTAATTGTACAAGGCACCGTCGATGGTATAATCGGCACTGGGTTCGTATAATTTTCTTCCAAGAAGTACCGTTGATCCACGTTTATCCCGCTTCTCGCTATACACTCTTATAAATACTTATTCTCTCTCTCACGTTTTATCCCCTCTCCTATTCTCTCTCTCTTTCTCTTTCTCTTTTTCTCTCTTTATATTCCCCTCTCTCTTACCTTTAAAAATTTATTCTATTCGATCTGTCTATATAAAGTAAGTTCGTTTTTGCCGTCAGTATTCTATCGTAACTGTCAGAAGTAACAGTAACGTGCAATGAATTCTTTTCAGATAGGATGATCTATTAAAATAGCAAGAAAAAATTATTTAAAATTAACTATAATCTTTTGCAAGATCATAGAATTGATCGAAAGTATCGGTTTTTTTTGATAGTTCATAATTTAGTGGTAAAAAAAATAAAGGTATGCGAATTATGAGGACAAAGGTTGAGTGTACGAACGAATTTTGAAAGTATTTTTTGGTAGAAAATTAAAATACTGTTCATGCAATATACCTAGTGTTGTAATAAAATATTGTTTATGTATAACAATTTTTAAAAATATTAACATTCAAAATTTAGCATCATTGTACGATGATGTAGAACATTTGTTGCATAGCATGGAATTTATTGATTAAAGTATTCCATTGTTGTAAAAATCTTAAAAAATTACAAAATCCAATGCTATAAAATTAAAAAATGTATAATATAAAATATAAAGATAACATTTGCAATGAATAACAATTTTATAAATTTGTATAAAAATAAAAAATAAAATAATGCACAAGTCTCGCGACTCAACGAATATGATAAAAATTCAATAGAATAAAACAATTATTAAAATTAATTTTATACAATAATGTATAAATATTAAAAATACAAAAAAAGGAAAAGAGAGAGTAAAATACATAAACTACATATATATACTTAACTCCGTTTTGTACTACATATACTTAATGTATTATACTATATATACTTAATTCTGTTAATCTTACTATTAAATAAAAATGAAGAAATAAATATAAAGAGTAAACATAACCTATATACATATAGAAAGTAACAATTTCATAGACTTTGAAATTACTAAAAAAACAAAAACCCAACCAACTATCTAAAAAAAAACATAGGAAAATTGAATCTTTCTATCGAGTTTCTCGTATTTTTTTCCCGTTCACAGAAGCATGTGTGGTTACACAGGTAACTATGCACGTGCTTACCAATATGGAAAACAAATATGGTGGCCGATGTGGAAAAAAGTAGAAGGGGAAAGGCAAGCTTATGGGCTAAAAGACACGAACAACCTAGAAAGAGAGAGAGAGAGAGAGAGAAATCTTTCTCTTTCATGGTTAAAAGACGAGAGAACGAGTATAGTTGGTGGAAGGAATGTACAAAGTTTCCTCATTATGCATTACCCATATTACATCAGCGCATACCTTTATGGTGTATCTTCCAGATGTTTTCTATTGGCAAAACAATACGGATGCAACCCCCCTCCCCCTACTCTCACCTCATCCTTTCCATCAACCACTATCCTGTTTTATATCCTGAGTTATTACGTACTCAATGATTCATCAACGTTAAGACGAAAATGACGTTTATGGTTCTAAGGATGAGGATGATGATTATGATGTGGTTTCGTTTAGATAACATATGAAAAAAAAAATAATACTTGTAGGAAGTTTCATGGACGAAGGGAGAAAAGAATAATGAAGTTACAATGGATCTAGTTATCGTACATGGATCTTTCAATTAATTACATTTGAATATGCTTATATAAAAGTATGTATATAATATATGTATAATCTGATGAAAGAATTGTGAAGAATTTTGTTTCAAGGGAAATTTACTAAAATTTAGTTTATTTTTGTTTTCAATAAGAAATAATTGCTATATATCAAATATTAAAATTAATGACAAATAACCAAAAAAGGGAAAAAGTTTATTGTAAATTAAATTCTATTTTAAATTAAAATCTTGTTTCAAGGGAAATTGACGAAAATTAAGTTTAATAATTTTTATTTTTTTGTAAATAAAAAATAATTTCTATATATCAAATATTAAAACTAGTTACACATAAAAAAAAATTCTAAATTTAATTCTATTCTAAATAAAAAACTATTTTCAAGCGAAACTTATAAAAATTAAGTTTTTTTCTTTTTTTTTTCTAAATAAAAAATAATTTCTCTATATCAAATATTAAACTAATTGCAAATAAAAAAAGAAGTGAAATAGTTTACTCTAAATAAAATTTGCAAAATTTATATGTGTGATATCTAATTTAAAAAGAAACTACCAAATGAACATACATACACAGTTTACAAAATAAACTGTATTGGTCAAAATATAAAATACTTTTATTATTTATAACAATTGTATCAAATCAAAGTATGAAGAAAGAATAAGAAAAAGAAAATCTAGGATTAATCATCGAATAATGATGTTAGGATAACGATAACGGATAACGACTGACTGAGTTCGATGAAAAGAAACTTTCCAAGGTGAGATTGAAGGAAGAGAGTAAGAAGTGGTGGGTTTAGGGGGGGTTTAGGGGAGGGGGTGATGGGAGGTTAGTTGGTAAAAGACGAAGAAAACGTTTGCCTATATTTACCGACGACGTGAAACGATCGACGATGCGAGGAGAAGGAGGAGGAGGAGGAGGTGGTGGTGGCTTTTGCATCGCTACGAAGTAGTCAGGGTCCGAGTGTACCGTTACATACAGCAGTTTCCTGCCTGTTAGAGATTGTCGGCCTCCATTGGCATCATTCGACTATAGTATCCTTCGCACAGTTACCCAGCTATACTCAATTTTGTTTTACTATTCCTTACTATTTACTATTAGCTACTCCCCCTGACTCGGTTTTGTCACCTACTCTTTAAAATTTTTCTCGCACTTTTACTTCAATTCAATATACGTACGTGGAATATACAAAAAACTTAGATACACATACATAGAGATACACATACCAAAGTGTACACAATAGGTGGTTGAAATTTTTTTATTATAGAACTCTTGACTCGACTAAATTAACAAACTGGGACAACGTGTAATCATAGAAAATCACGTCATATTTCATTTTTATTATACTTTTATGATGTATATTTAAATTGTATTCTATATATAATATAAATATTATAATTACTAATAAATATTAATATTATATATAATATGTAATGCGTAATATTATATATTTTATATTAATTATTATATATATTTTATATATAATATTACACGGTTATATGTATACCATGATTGATCGAATATTAGTACTTTATGATTATTATAATTATAATTATATTCTATCTATTATCAAATTATATATAAATAATGCAATATTATTATTTATTATATTATATATATAATATAAATTTTATTCAAGACTACTCTTCATGTGATCAATCATGGTATAAATAAATATATATAAACTATCTTTAAGTTTAGTATTAAATTTACATATTTTTTTTTTTTTTTATACGAAATGTCAAATTTATAAACAATTCATTAAATTAATATTCACATCTTAATTTTCTCAAACTATTCTTTTATATTTGCAAAAAATATCGATCATATTAAGAACCAAGAAATATCATAAATGAGATGATTTTAAAAATTATTTTTAATTATCTTTGTTATATATTATTTTTATATAATCACGTTACTCGATATCTAAAATAAGAGAAACAAAAAAAAAACTATTTCTGAACGTCATACTAAGTATGATTAACTGGATTCAGTACGTTTACAGTTAGGTAGCATTGACTGAACTATGTGCTCATTCCTCGCGTTCCTTGATTAGAGTCAGCTGCAACATTCTTATATATATACTATATAGATATATATACATATACCTTATGCCACACCTACGTACCTAGCATTTATACATTCTTTTTTACTTTTTTACAAATTTTTCATTACTCTCCACACCTCCTTCTTTTCTCTTTCCTTTACCTAAATGTTTGATTGAAACAAATCAATCATATTTCCAATAAATACAAAAATAAATTTGTACGACGATTAAAAAATGGCAAAACGAAAAATACATTTGTATGAAAGAAATAAAAAAAAAAACCAAAAAAATAAAATAAATAAAGATTAATTAATTTATGAAAATTTTTCAAGCGAGATTACGTTTAATTTAATTCTTCATTTTTTATGTATATGTAAATGAATAAAAAAAAATAAAATTGAAATAGAAAATAGAAATATTAAAAATGAATAATAAAAAAAAAAAAATAAAAAAAAAAAAGTAACAGAATTCCAAACGTCCTTTGAAGAGATAGTGAGTGAGAAAAGGTAAGCAAGGACGATGGGTACTTTTTAAATCGCCGGTTTTACCAACGCACCGGACTTCTCGCATTCCATGGCAAAACTTGGCACGTACGTAGGTATATACACACACAT